CTGTGTGATTCTGTGTGTGTGATTCAGTTCAGTGAGTCTTTTTAAAGACTTAAATAAGGAAATTATATTTTTATGTAATGCAAATTCTCTTAAGTATGTACAAAAATGTACGTTTTTATAATTAGGGCAACAATGGTGCTCATATGACCTAATTTGATTTTTGTTTTCCTTCCTTTTATAAGGTATTTTCCTTTAAAATTTAGTTGTGCTTAGGTAATAAAACCTAGGATAAGTGTACAGGTTCAAAAAATACCACTAATGATTAGCTATAGTGCTATGCAATAAAGTTAATAGAGTGGCTAAATTCACTGTGGCATTCTAGGACGGTTTTTTGTTTGTTTTATAACATCTCTTTACTCAATAACAATTTTAATTAATCTCTTCTTGCATCCCTTTATGTGCATCTACACACCAGGTGCCAATGTGCAGAAAGGAAAGCATTTGGAAACTCCACTCCATGCTGCTGCCCAGCATTCTAGTACAGAGATTGTAAACTTACTCCTTGAATTTGGGGCAGACATAAATGCCAAAAATACAGATTTTGAGAGGCCTGTTGATTTAGCTGCTCCAAGCAGTTTAGTGGAGAGACTGCTGCTCCTCCATGAAGGTAAGTTTTACATATGTGTTTTTGCAACTATAGCTTGTATTCTTAAACAAGAAACAAACCACCCCCCAGAAGAAACCCAACAGCCCAAGCAACCCAATGATACAGAAGTTAACATTGTGCTTTAGGAAATGAGTATATTAACATTCAGGTAAATTCCTTTCTAACTATAAAAATACCCAGTAATATTTAGTCTCAGGCCAGAGGCTGTTGACCAAGCAGCATCAGAATTGATACAGGCTGAAAAAGTATCATCTTCTGTTTCTTGAGTGTTTACACTATTAGGCATTAAAGCTACCTTTTTATTGACTGATCTAAATCTTGTTAAAAAGAAATAGAATATTTCAGTTTCAGATTAAAAATATATTTAGCTGTGCCAATATTTTTAAAGTATATTTTAAGTGCATATAAAGGACTTTATTTTGATTGTAGGCAAGAAGTATAATAAGTTTCATTTTCCAAATTTTCTTTACTGAATTACAAATACCTGAGAAATAGAGTCAACACTTAAGAGTCCCTTAAATCATTTCGAGGTCTGTTGCCTTAGAGAATATCCCAAAGGGAACTTGATTTGTTCAGACTGACCTATGTGCAGTGTAAAAATAAGTCACAGGACAAAGGTGGGAAATAAGCAGAGAAACTGTTGCAATAACTGTGGGCATCTCTTTAGAAGCGAACTGATAAGTAGCACTGATTACCATGTTGCTCCAGAAAACATCTCTGTAGTCTGAATGGTGTTTAAAAAAAACCCTCTAAAAACAGTTGGTTATCACAGAATTTCCAAGGTTAATAGGAATTTAAAAGCCACAGCAAAGTTGTCAAAAAACAACAACAAAAGAATTGGCATTTGCAAAATGTGAACTTTTATTTTTCCCAGAAGTCTCATTATCGTGTAAGACTGGTGTAAAACAAAGTACTGGCCTGTATAGTTGTGTAATTAAACTCCTTTATGTTTTGTTTGCAGCCACACCATCTTCTCTTTGTCAGCTCTGCCGACTACGTATCCGAAATTACATAGGAAGAGCTAGACTGCATCTTGTCCCACAACTCCAGTTGCCAACGATATTGAAGAATTTCTTACAGTATAGATAACATAGTAATTAACCTGCAGAAACTTGAATAACAAGTACTTTTTCTTCATTCTGTTTATTGTAAGTTTAATCTAAAGAACTGCTGGGCGGGTAAAAAGCCTTTGCATATTACTTAAAAAAATATCTATAACTTTGACACCTGGTGTTGGTATCTAATAATAAAAATTGGGAGCCATTCAGCAGCTGGTACCAAGGTGCTAATAACGCTGAATAGAGTAAGTGTGCTGATGCTCTGGGAAATGATTGTATACCTTTAGCTTAACACTTACTAACTAGCTTTAGTGCTGTTAATTTTAATCGTATTTATACTTTTAAAATCTGTTTGACACACCTGAACCACAAAGAGGTTTCTTCATTATTATTTGTTAAGTTTGTCCATTTGGAGTCATTATTTTATGTGTTTTTAAATTTCTATTGTTTGTGTACCTAAAAAGACTTGGTAATAGGCGCACTATATACACTGATAACAATAAAACAAATATATGTCAATTTTTCTTCTTTTTCTTTATATAGACTACTTATCAGTAAGAAACTTCCTTTATTCTTTCTCACTGCCTGTGCTGTGAAATGGAATTATGCAGCTGTGAACGTAATGCCAATTTTTTAGCCAAACACAGTTTATAGATTCTCTGTATATTAGTACAATTAGTAATTCTAAAAATCCCGGAGAAATATTGCTAAAAAGCCTTAATGCTGAGATACTTTTGATCTCCTGTTGTAAAACAGGATTATCTGGGCTCTTTCCTTATCTTTTTGTAACAATGCTGTGTCACAACTCATGGGCATATTGAATAATTATTTGGCTCAGAGAAAGGCATATATTGTTGTATAGTATCTGTCAGGTTTCTAAAGGCATATTGTGGAGATGTGGGTACCGAATCTTCAGCCTCAAGTTCAGGAGGTGGATGCAAGCTCCAGAAATATATCAGCTCCCCATATTAGGACAGGTATCACTCTGAAAAGGACATTATTTCTCTCACTGTGTAGTTTATAAACAATTACCCAGCTCCAGAAATCATGTTGCAGAATCCCAGAATGCTCTAGCAGGCATTTCTGTGATCAGTTTGAGATTTTACTGTTCAGCTGTCTAGCCAGAGAAGGAATGCTGACACCCTCAAGAGACATTAGACAACCTAAAGGATTTCTGCCTCGCTCACACCCTTGCTTGGTGACAGTTGCCAGTCATGTCAAAAAAGTCGATCTAACTACTTCATTGAAATACAACGCTCCTTCTCTGTCTTCTCATTTGGTCTGCCTTTGATAACAGATTACTTCCTCAGTGACTGATACTCAATTCCTGCAAACCAAAGCATGAGACACCTGAAAATTTACCCCTTGCCGTTGAGGATTCACCCTCTTCCATTCCTTTTCAGTGACTCCTTTCAGTATTTATGTTCCTACTGGAAAGATGTTAAGTGAAGAACTAACTATAGAGGAAGTTCTCACAAAGAAGAATGCTTGCCTCAGTTGCTAAATTATATCCACCCGATAAAAATGCAGCTCTCTGACACTTGCCCTTGTTAAAAGTAGTCTTAATTTGCTTCTGTGCCCTGCAAAAACTCCGACCTCTTCTGGAGTCCCTGTAAAGGAAAGTCAGGTGCAAGTAAGAGGAACTGCTTAGGAGTCCATAATGTATGTACTTTGTAATGGAGCAAGTTAGGGATTTTGGTTTTCATCCAGAAACTAGTAATTTGTGTATTACTTCAAGAAACAAGGACGTGCCAAGCCAGCCAGCCATCACACTGTTGAACTTCCCTGTGTAGAATGAGATCATTTAAACCCTCACCTTTGAGTGTGCACAGTGCTTTTCAAGTTTGACTCAGGAAAAACATCATTTAAAAAGACCCACTCTGATGTTCTATACAATAAGATGAGTTTTCAGCAAGCATGGCTATTCTGCAAAACATATATTCAAAACAAAACTAAAATGTTGGAAGTTTTGCTTCCAAAATGTTGGAAGTTTTGCTGAGAGTTGCATCAGAGTCCAAGCCATCTCATCGCAAATAGGTGTGTTCACGCTCTTGTGGCATTTGCAGTGTCTGTTCCCACCATTCCCACTGATCCTTGCTATCCAAAGAACAAACAAGACTTAAGAGTTTATAAGTATCTGGTACTACTTTCTCTTTAATTCTGTAGAATGGTAGACTAGCTGGAAGAGTGATCCAGAGCTACCTTACAGCCAATATGCAGCTCTTAACATATAATCTTTAATCTTTTGCTGCCATATAATTATACGAAAATATAACTTTGGCAAGCTGAGCCAAGTCAGGTGGGCATCACTTCTGTTACTATGAAACAGGAACAAACAAAATAGGGAATGGATGGTGTTGCCCTGGCAGGACTGTACTGGAACAGGTCTCTGGCAGGACAAACCACACTAATACCACATACCAAAAATACACAGCAATGAAATACCAGACGTTAGTGTTTGGTAAAATTCTTTCCAAAAAATGATCCTTTCTTTAGCCAGAAATGAGAGGAACCAGGCTTGTTACTGTTTTCTTTAGGTGGGGGCGCCATTACAATGTGGCTCTGATGGACTGAAGTCTTAGTATGAAATAAATGTTAAGTATTAAAATATTAGGAACTGGGATCTGAAACAAACATTTAAGCATGTCAGAGCGCTGTTAAAGATTACTACAGCACATCCAAGTTTAAAAGGAGTCTTCTTTAGTGGCTGAAGTATCTCTTATTATATGAATTATTATACCAGCAAAGAAAAATATCATAAGACATTTTCAGAAAAAAAAATCAAAATGTAATGTAGTATCTCAATTCTTTAAAGAAATTCCGCTGGGCAATCCTGCCAGCTTGCACCCAGGAGACCGACAGAAGATACCACACTGGCGCCTCGGAAGGCTCACGGAACGCAAGACTTTCCGTGCAATTTCCGCCGGGGATGCCTCCCTGCTGCCGCCCGCCCGTAGGCACACCCGGGCAGCCGGGATGCTCCTCCTTCCCCGAGGGGCCGCTCGGCGGCGGCTCCGGCCCCGCCCGCCC